GAGTGGCATCCCATGGCAGTGGAGAAAGAGGGGTGGCTGTGTGTGTGCACCCGGGGTACGGGGTGGGGTAGCTGCCAACGGGTAATAGGGAGACACCTTTTACAGCCTCTGTCACTGTTTTGTGCTCATGGAAGACTAAGGAAATGTAGATCGTTGAAACCACAGATGGGCCTGGGAGGAAAAAAAAAAAAAATCAGGATTCACTTAAACTAGGTGTTTTTGCCTGGGTGCTTAAGAGTGTCAGGGGTCATTCGAAAAGTCGGCAAATCTGATTTCTCTGTAGGTGGAAAGGGAAGACATGAGAACGTGGAAAAGCAGAGGAGGTCAATGGGAGAAGCAGAGGCTACTGGGAAAATCCTTAAGGGAGGATGAGCAGGCTTTAGAAGGCTGAATTGGCTGGAACTCTTCAAAAATAAAGCGATCAAGCTTGGGTTGTAGCTTTGAGTGAGGACCAGCAGATAAGTCAAGGGTGGACACTGATATTCTCCTGGCTTCCGGACACCCAGCACCTGCTGCACCACACCTTTCCCACGAGGCTCCAGAAGGAATCTGGAGCTTCCTAAGGGCAGAGACTGTGGCTCTGCATCCCTTTCTCCTTCCCTCTGGTGCTCTCTCACCCATCCTTGGGGACAGATGCATTCTCTGGTACTGATGAATGAAAGGGGGCAGCTGCATGCCAAAGGGAAGGACAAGGAGAATGTCAGGAAGCAGGAAAAGCAGGGGAGAATGAAGAGGGAAGGGGGTGAAGAGGCAGACAGGGAAGGAGAGGCGAAATGGAGGTGGAGGAAGCTGGGCCTGGAAGAGAAGGGAAGTCCATGAAAAGTGTTAAAAGGATGCAGTCGTTTAGTCGGTCAACAAACACTCTGCACCTATCACATATCACACAATGTGCTGGGAGTGGAAGGTGCAGTGGTGAATAAGACAAAATGGGGCTTTAAGGGGTGGCGGATGGGGAGTTTGTAAGTGAGAAAGGGGGAGAAATTGGCCACTTAGAGCAAGAAGAGGCTAAGCATAGTTGGAAACAAGAAGGAAAATATCACAGAGAGAGAGAGAGAGAGAGAGAACCTGCCTCCAGGACCATCATTGGGTGAGACACAGCCAGAACCACCTGTCGGCCCTGGCTCCGTGAAGACCGAGGCAGGTAAGCTGGGCAGGGGAGAAATTCAAGAAGGGGAGGGACAGGAGTGGGTGGGGGTGGAGGGTCAGACTGTTCACAGTTTTTCACTTGGGCACCCACAGTGGAAAGATGTCTGTGCTACTGAGTGGTTCTCAACATTTGGCTGCCCGTTGGAGTCACCCGAGGAACTTCCAAACACCATCACCAGGATCCCACCCCCAGAGATTCTGATTTTTCTGGCCCTGGGATGGCACCTGGACTTCAGAATTTATTAATAGCTCTCCAATGAGTCTAAAGTGCAGCCAGGGAGAAAGCGAGCATTAGAAGCTGGCTGCCTGGCCTCCTTCCTCTCTGGTGAGAATGGGGGCCATCTTGAAAGAAGCGACCTGTGGGAGGGAAGGGAAGTTGTACCGTGCTTTGAGGGGGTTGTAAATGAGGCTCCAAGACTCCAGTGGTTCTGACAAAAGGATAAGGGGCTCCTGAGAAAGTGCCCCCTTCCTCGGCTATGCCTCTGGTAAGAAAGGAGCAAGATAGCCTGGAAAGAAAGAGAAAACAAGGCAATGGCGGTCTTTAAAAGGGAAGAACAATTCAAGTAACTCAGACCTGCCGAATTTTCTGTTGTTGCACCCTGCTCCCCCACCCACACACATGCACACTTCCCCCCACCCCCTCTGCAGTCTTCATGATGGGGCCTCTGGGGGTGAGACAGGCACAGCTGCCACAAAAGGTTTGGCAGTGGCCCAGCAGGATATTCAACCTCACCCCCCCCCCCAAACTCCCTGCACCCTAATATAGCTGAGTCACTGAACCCGGGTGGAGTCCTCTGCTTGACAGTGAAGCAATCTGAACTTGAAAAATGGCCTGGGAACAGAATGTATGGTCTATATAAACAAGTCCTATGTAGATGTAATTGTATGCAAATATTCATTCTTTAACTCAACATACACTTCCTGCCAGTCCTCTTGTACAGGTTTCAAACCTTCCACTACAGCTCACAGTGTATGTAGCAGGGGACAGATGTGAAAATAAAAGTGCAGTGTTAGCGAGTGAAGCCCTCTGCAGTCTAGAGAAGGAAAAAAGCCGTGGTTCAGTGGGAGTTAGGTGTTCAGAGTTTGAGCAGGGTCTTGAAGGATGTTCAGGAGTTTACCAGGAGACAGGAAGGATAAAGCAGGAAGGGAAACAGAAGAGTAAGTGTTTAAGAAATGTAAAATATTTCCTTGAGGCAAAAGGGTAGGATCTGTAGAAAGGGAATAGGGTGGGGGGAGGAAAGATACGCAAGTGTGTGTGAAGGACATTGTTTGCCCCCTAAAAAAGGAGTTTGGGCTTTTCATCCAGAACGGCATAGGGAGCCAATGAAGGTTCTTAACTAGAGGAGTGATAGCTTTTTTTTTTTTTTTTAATTTTGAGAGAGAGATCAAGCAGGGGAGGGGGCAGAGGAAGGGAGAGAGAGAATCTCAAATGAGCTCTGTGCTGAGTGTGGAGCACCAAGCCCAACTCGGGGCTTGATCCCACAACCCTACGAAAACCAAGAGTCAGATGCTCAACTGACTGAGCCACCCAGGCACCCCGAAGGAGTCTTGCTTTTAGAGTCTTGTTTTTCAAAGGTGAAGGCTGAGAGGGGTAGACGGAAGAAAAAATTAACATTTATTCATCAATTACTGTGTACTGGGCATTGGGCTCTGTATTTTATTTGGTCACTCCAACCCTTTATGATAGCTTTTTTCAAGCTGCCGGTCAAGATCAAGAAAAGGAACGAAAAAAAAGGAAGGGAGGGAAGGGGGAAGGGAGAATAACTATAGAAATTATCAGGGCGTCGCGGGTAGAAAGGTTTAGTATTGTTTTTGGAAACTTTGCTACACATTTTTACCTGAGTTTTAAGGTACTGTATCGGGGTTCAAGTGTTATTTCTCATTGCAGCTTATGGTGTTTTAAAAAAGAAAGAGAAGCCGCTGCTGTAAGGTGTAGGTGTGACTAGCCTCATTTTGCAGGTGAGGACATAAGGCGCAGGGAGTTTCAGTACCCTGCCCCTCTGTAAGTGGGACGTAAATTTCAAACCCAGGCTGGTCTGAAGCCAGCGTGGATTCCTGCTCAGTAATGCCAGGCAGCCTGCCCAAGTTACGCATGTACAGCAGACCTGGGAAAGAAAAACGTACCCGGGTCGCGCTTCCCAAGGGCTGTATGTACTCACACAGCACCTCATTCAAGGAGGTAAATCGGAAAGGCCCAACTCTCTGTCCGCCCAAAGTGCTGGACAGAATGTATATTCCAAGAGTGCCCTAGACGCACAGAATCGGATTATGAGCGGCAGCCCCGGGAATCTCCTTTTAGAGAGCTTCAGGTGATTCTGGGTGGACCGCCCGTTGTGGGGGAGGGGAGGGGCGGGTCGCTGCAATAACTAGGTGAGAATGAACTGGGGCTTGAACTGAGATGGAGAAATAATCCCTTTTCTCAGAAGTGTCACGTAGCCCAACTCCCGCTATTGTGAACTCCGATGCCTCGCGGTACAAAGTCACCTGGGGGCTCATTTCCCTCTCCCGAAGCGATAAAGGCGAGGGAAATTTAAAAAAAAAAAAAAAGGCTGGTGGCTTCCCACTCACCAGCCAAGTGGTTTGAGTAGCCGAAAAGCAGGTGGCTCCCGCCACTCCAGGGCGACACTAGATTGAGGTGTAAAGTGTGTACTATTTATAGGGCATTTCTGGGCCTCACCCTAAGGACTTCTGATTGGCTTTGGGGTAGATCTATCACTCATCTTTTGGGTTCGAGGTGGGTGGAAGGTCAACCACGACCAATACAAAACCACTCCTCAGCTAAGCCCCTCCCCATCTAGCTTCCTGTTGCTGTCCATCAACCACCTCGTAGGCGGGACTTCACGTCCCGCCAATTGGCTGACGAACATGTCGTTCACTCTTCAGTAGGTTTCCGGTTGGTGCCCTCTACTGTCCATCAGTGACATTTCACAAGTCTATTGGCCAAACCAACGTCGCTCTAGACGCCTCTCTCTGATTGGATACTAGTGCTGTCGGTCCCCAATGTACTGAACTCTTATTGGTGAACGCTGCCGTCGCTCGGGCGGTGGCGGGCTCCGGGATTGGCGGGTGCTGGGCGGGCGGTGTCAGGCTCTCGGTGGCGGCGGAGGCGGCGGAGGCCAGGGAGGAAGATGTCGTAATGAGCGGTGGGTCCTGACCGCTGCCGGCGGGGTCTTTCCGGCCCCCAAGGGTCGGGAAGACGGGCAGAGGCCGCAGGGAGGGGAAGCCGGGGCCGGGGGTTCCCCCCTGGGACCGGGCCTGGCGCCGGGGCCCGGCTCCGGGAGGGGCGGGGGAGGGAGGATTCCCGCCCGGAGGAGGAGCGGGGCTGGCCAGCCGGGCGGAGGCACCCGGAAGGGGGCGTTCGACTCCCCGCCCCCTCGGAGCCCGCTGGGCGGGAGGGCGGCGCTTCCGGGGGCTGGTGAGAGGTGCGGGCACCCGGGCGTGCCTGGCACCCCCTTCACCCAGTTGCCTACCCACCTCAGTGCTTCCGGCCTGTGGACACAGCCTGGGTCTGCTCCGAGGAGGCGGCCCACGCTCCTCGCGCTAGCCCTGTGTTGGGGGACCCTCCTGCATTCTGACTCGGTGCCTACCGGCGATTCAGGGCCCTCCCGAGTGCAGAGAGGGGCGAGGGAGTGCTTAAAATGCAGACGGTGCCAACCACATGGGCACTGCGGGGCCTAGAAGCCAGCCTGGTTCCCGATATACCCCAATGGAGAGATGGTGTGTCAGGACACGAGGGCACCGCTCCCCGCCCCCCCGCAAAGGGCAGAGGACTTCTTGCCTTAGACTGCGACGTGGACATAAACCTCGTAATGTTTTCACTTGGGTCCTTGAACACCAGCTAGATACCCGCAAGCTCTTAGCAGAATTATGAGCCGTTTAAGAACTTGCTGACAAAGCTCCCAGCCTGTTAGCTGATGCTCCGTCGGTGGGACTGCTGAATCCCAAAAGCCAGGTGCAAACCTAAGGAATGACAGAAGAAATAAAACGGATATTTACTTTCTTTCTCCACCCTGCCTCCATCCCATTGCTGACTTGGTTCTCAGCCTCCTACCCGTGCTTCTTGGCTTATGTTCCCAGTGGCTTTCTAATTTTAGTTGAAAAGGAACTGTGTCTTCTCTTTGGGCAATTGAGAAACCTGTCCTCACCGCATTCCTTGGTTTTGACTCCAGTATACCGTCATGTTTATTTCTTAATTAACTTGATCCAGGGGGACTCCATCTGGCTTTTCTCAGTGCACATTCTCCCAAAGTTTGTTTCTTCTTGAGGCTACTTCTTGCTCCCTTATTTGTGGTTTCCTAGAGAAAGGGAGGGAAGAGCTTGTAGATCTGCTTTAAGCAAGGAATTGGCTCACAGTCCCCCATTATGCTGATTTAATTGCAGAAAAAAGGGTGATGACTGTTTCAAGGTATACTAGCATGCACTGTCTACGACTTGGCATGCTGTACCCCAGAAGGCCTTAAGTATCACAATGGAGGGCTAAGCGTTGAGTTGGTATTTTGGATAAGATTTTTAGGGCTAGAAAGTTTAGGGTGTTGGCCAGTTGACAGAGAGGTTGTTGAGGGAACAGTGGTGAAGTCAACACCATAGAAGTCATTTTGATTAATAACACAAAGAAACCTGTTGTCTGCAATAATGAATATAACTGCAGTGTCTTGTTTTGTTTTAAATTCTTGTGTGCAATGAAGGGGGCGAATCTGTCAGACAATCTATCAGTTGGGCTGATGATGTCAATGTTCCAGTGGCTTCCAATAGGCATTAATACCTGTTGGAAATGGATTCTCATTGGCTGGGGCGATTGGTAAGTTTTCTAATTCTGGTTCTTCCGCTTGGTTGTACAGAGGCTTAACCCCTCTTCATTTAAAAGCAGTAACAACAAGGAAAAAAAAAAAGCCGGTCTGACATAATTATAAACTCCCTGAGCTAGGCTGCTAAAGACACAATGTCTTTGCCAAGGAGACCCAAGTGGAATTAGTTCATAATTGGATCCTCACCTCACTGCCCTGTAAGGGGAGCTGGCTCCAGGAGGAAGAGTTTGGCACCAGTGTTGACAGCACATAGATTGGCCGGCTTTTTTCTCTCAGATTCTATTAAAGTTTGGGCCTCCGGAGGCCTGTTGGAGGAGAGAAGCTGAAAGAAGATTTTGGCAAATATCTGGGTAAAGGAGCTTCGTGGCATAATAGCATATAGGGCAGTTCATTTTGATATCTTGTCCTTGAACTTCCTCGTTCTTTCGTTGATTACTAGCAGCCTTTTGGAGAAGTTGCAGGGTCCCTTGTAGCTTGAACCGTCCTTTACAATAGGCATGTGATAATTCCTGACTCTGCTTTCAGAGAGTATTGCCCAACCAGGGCCCTCATGAAGACATCCTAAGCTTGTTGCCACTGGTCGGTAGACCCTGGTACTGGCTTGAGTTCAGCAATCTTCTAGACCTTTGTCACCATACATTTCTATGATGGAAATGTAGCATCTTCTTCTGTGACTTACCTTCCCTCCCTCTGTTCTCTGTTTACCCACAAATTGGAAGGCTTGCTTCCAAGGATAGAAAAATGTAGTAATTAAAGTGTATACAGAGTATTAGAAATTGTAGAGATGTGAACTCTTCTGAGTTTAAACAATTATGGGGTCTAGTCTGAAACCTTGCGGGCTGAAGACTTGAAGTAAAATGTATTTGGAGAAGCTCCAGTACTTATGAGTTTGGATAGCTTAACGGGATTAGGGAACTTCTCATAAATTCTAAACGAGGAACACTTGACCCACATGCTGGACTGAGAGGTGGACATCATTATGGAATGAATTCATTGACGTTTTTGCTTATTTGTTTTTTGCTACGAATTAGGGTAAAAACATGGGGCATTACCAACTCCAGGGCACCGTCAGCCTAAGTATCGGGAAAGGATTAGAGATTGTCCTGGAAGAGATGTTCCCCGGTGGTACTGGTAGATTTGTCCAAGTTGACAGGATTCTGAAAGGGAAAACTGATTTTTCCACTGCCTCACGCGATGCTAGAAAGAGAACCCAGGAGCAAGCTCAGTCAGCACTCGCTGCTTAGCTTCCCCCACATGGCCAGGAGGTGCTCTTTCTGGGTGCTCTGAGGCCGTCACCGGCACAGGGCATTACCGTGTGCTTCTCATCAGGACGTGCCCTGGGGAGCCGAGCTCTGCTCAGGAGCAAGGGAGCACAAAAGGGCTGAGTGCCCAGGTTAGATGCTGTTCAGTCTGTCCCCGTGAAAGGCTTCGAGCAGTGTTGAGATATCCAGGCTGTTTGTGTCACCGGAAGAGCATGTGTGCAGGTCCAGCTGTTTGCATCCCTCCTTTGGACGTCTCATTCCTTAGCTGCAGCTGGTGTCAGCTTCAGAGTTGTGTGCTGTACCTGGCCGGAAGCCTCACCGCGTCGTAATGCCAACGTTTAGCTTGGGCGACTGTTGTTTTTGAGACTGAGGGCTCTGAGATGCCGGTTTGCCCTTAGGCCATGACTTAGGCTGTTAGGTGGCCCCTTTCACCTCAGCCACGGGGTGAAAAGTGGCCCAGGAACGACCAGCAGACTCTGGCCTGCCCACTGCCAAACGTCCTCTTTCTAGAGCTTCCTCTTTGGCGTATTTGTTAGCTTTCCCCTGGGACTCAGTGGAATCATGGAGCAGCTTCCCAGAGAGTGTGACTAGGGACTAAGAGACAGCAGGCAGGGCTGCGTGATTGAAAGTGGAGCATTTCTGCCCCTGGCCAGTGTCGGGCTGAAGGCTTCTCAGATTAGCCTAAAGACAGACCAAAACCTTTCCCGGCCTTCCGAACGGTAAATGGTAAGCCAACCCTCTCTTCTCAGGGGAAATGAAGTCAGTGCTCATTTCACAACTGGTCCGAGCCGGGGATGAATGTGGGCGTGACTCACAAGTAAATGTGCCAAAGCAGAGAAAACAAGTGTTTGTACACAGTGGTCTTCTAGGGGGAAAAAGTGTTATCTTGGTTTCTTTTTCTCTCCTGTTCCCTAAGAGCGGTCTGGGACCAAGTACTCTTTGTACCATTTCCTGGGACTGCTCTGTCAGGGTAAAGAGCTGCCCTGGGTCCCCACGCACTTCTCCAGTGTCCCTTCCAGTACCACTGGCTGTGACCCAGGCAGGATGCAAACTAGCAAATGACTGTCACATTTCGAGGAGGCATATTCATATAGCCAGCCCTCATTATCTTAACTCATTTGGAAAAGAATTCCCCTTCCCTGGTGCAGGTTCATTGAAAGAAGCATTGAAAAGCGGTGCCTGGTGTGTGGTGATGAGGTGTGTGCTTTGAGATCTTTGTCCGGGTGCAGGACTGGACTGTGCGGATCTGCACACAGGTACTTGTCCCCGCGTGAGGCAGTGGGCGGGCTTGGGAGTTCCATCTGGGACAGCATCAGCTGAGCTGACCTGGCGGGTGGATTCCAGCCTCGTGCCAGGACATGCACATCTGTGGGTTTTCTCCTGTGGTTCTTAAAACTCCATTTAGGCTCTCCCACTCTGCAGTCTCCAGGATTCATTCACTCATCCACTCAAAAAACATATACTAGGCACCTACTATGTGCCAGGTAGGAGGGATACATGGGTGGGTAAGGGAAGGAGAAGTTCCTTGCTTTAGGAAGCCTACATCTTAGTGGGTGACAATACATAAGTAACTACTGGATATTAGACAATGAGAAGTGGTACGAAGAAAAAGAGAAGACAGAAGAATGTGAAAGGGTGCAATTTATATAGGGTGGTCAGGGAAGGTTTCAGTGAGAAGGTGACATGTGAGTAAAGCCACAGAAGGAGGGGAGAGATTGAGCCATGCTCAGTCTGGGGTGGGGGGCGGGGGAGGTTGAGAACTCAGCCAAGGAGGACAGCAAGTGCAAAGGCCCTGAGAAGGGGCTGTACCTAGTATGTTGGAAAGCAGCAGGGAGACCAGCGTGGCCGAAGTAGTGAAGAGGAGGGACAGGATAGGTCAGATAGGGTCCTTATGTGTCACGGTGGGGACTTCAGTTCTTACTTTGAATGGGAGACAGGATGCTCTTGGGGGGCTCTGAGCAGAGGAGTACTGTGATTTCACTTAAGTGTGATGGGTCTCATTCTGGATGCATGTTGAGAGCAGACTGACGGGAACAAGGTCACAAGCCCGGCTAGGAGGCTTTTGCAGTTAACCAGTGACAGATGATGAGGATCTGAATCTGGGTGACAACAGGTGGTGGTGAAAGCAATCAGATACTGAATGTATTCTGTACTTTCAAAATACATTTTCTACCTTGAACCGAAACACTGTTTGCTGGCTGTCATATGTAGAGTGTGGAAAAAAAGAAGGGTCAAGCATGCCGTACAGGGTTTTAGCACTGAGCTGCTGGAAGGACAGAATTCCATTCACTGCACAGGGAAGTTTGAAGGAGACACAGAATTAGGACGATACCGGGCATTGGTTAGATCTGAGATGCTTGTTGACATATCCAAGAGGAGGTGTCAGTAGGCAGTCGGATATACAAGATATAAGTTTGGGAGTCATCGTTATATAGAACCTGTATGTTACTGGTTGTTAAAATGCTGTGAGGCTAGATGAAACCGCCCAGGAAATAGGTATAGACAGAAGAAAAATAAATGCTGAGACTGCACCCTGGGGCAACTCAACCAGTTAGAATTTGAGAGGAGAGGAGGACCCGGCAAAGGAATACTTTGAAAAAGTAGCTAGAGACATAGATCAACCTGGCAAGTGTGTTCCCGAAGCCAAGTGTAGAAAGTGTTTCAAGGAGAAAGAGGGGTCAGCTGTCAGATCAACACATAAAATAAGGTCTAAGAATTAACTGTTGGATATAGCAATGCAGAGGTCACTGGTGGCACAAGCAGTCTTTGTGGCATGGGCAAAAACCTTGAGCAGGTTCAAGAAAGACTGGCAGGAGAGGAATTAGGGGCAGCACTTATGGGTACCTCTTGCAAAGGGTTTTGTTTGAAAAGGGGAGAAATAACAGCTTTTAACTGCTGAAGGGATTTTTTTTTTTTAATGTTTATTTTTTGAGGGAGGGAGATGAGGGGTAGAGAAAGAGACCGAGAATCTGAAGCAGGCTCCAAACTGTCAGTGCAAAGCCCAACGTGGAGCTTGAACTCGTGAACCGTTAGATCATGATCTGAGCTGAAACTAAGAGTCAGATGCTTAACCAACTGAGCCACCCAGGTGCCCCGGGAATTTTTTTAATTTTTGTTGTTGTTTTAGAGAGAGAGAGAGAGGTGAGGAAGGGGCAGAGAGAAAGAGAAAGAATCCCAAGCAGGCTCTGCATTGTCAGCACAGAGACTGACACGGGGTTTGAACTCACAAACCGTGAGATCATGACTCGAGCTGAAACCCAAGAGTCAGAAGCTTAACCCCCTCAGCCCCCAGGTGCTTCAAATTGATGAAGGGAATTTTAACTTCCTGATGAAACCGTGGGCCCACTAAGAGGCCTGGCCTGAGCCGCCTTTGGCCTGAGGCATTAGCAAGCCGCCACTCAAGAGTTGTTCTCATTTATGTAAAGTCAGTGAAGTTCCTTTTACCCTTACTGAGCTCCTTTATATGGTTATTGTGGTGCTGGAGGCTTGCTTGTCTGCAGTTTGGTGTTTTTAACCACCAGTGTTGCTGCTCCCTCCGTGCAGGCTGGTTCTCTCAGCCCATTTATGAACTCCCTTCAAGGTCCAACTTTGTTCTCTAAAACCAGCCACGGCTTGCTTTTCCCTTACCAACTCTGAATTCTTCCAGGCCAGGCAACTGGGAGAAACTGTTTTGTTGGCTTCTGGCCCAGCTGAGCTGACCAAAATAGCCTGCAGAAGGACTGTTTGTGCAGAGTGAAATTCCTCCAGGGGAAATACCATAGCGGATGGCCAAGAAGGCCATGGTAGGAACCCATGAGGCCAAAAAAGAAAAAAAAAAAAAAAAAAACCAGGTACCGCCAAGTCCTGGCTATGGAGTTTGACCCAAGTTCTCTCCAGAGGGAAAAGAGCTTTCTAAAGCTTATTGTGGTATTTCTTAGGTCCCCTTCTCTCTCATTCCCTGTGTCTCAAGAGTAATATTCTCAAGTGAAAGACCAGTGGAGCGGCCCCCAGTCTGATGGCCAGGGCTTCGGGGTCCTGTCTGAGGCCTCCTCCTGTTACCGGTGCTTCCTGGGCCAGGCCATTGGAGAGACCCCCAGGACAGACACCACTCATTGCCCTCTGATAGGGGAAGGGGCCTGTGGGACCTTTACACGGGCACACAGGACGGGCTCTTGCCCCAGACTTGGGGGTTGGGAGGGAAGAGGTCAGGAAAGATCTTCCCTGCTTAAGTGAATTATAAACCGAGCTGTAAGGACTGGAGTTAGCCAGACAAATGCCAGAAAGAGCAAGCTTAGGCTCCAAGTGAGAGAGGGCGGGTTGTAGTTCCAGAAATGGAAAACACTGAAGTGCCTGTGGGGAGAGTCTGAAGAGCAAGAGATAAAGGAGAGGTAGAGGGGGAGGGGCAGAGTGTTTTTGGCTTTTACAAGCTTATCCTAAGATCATCTGAAGCTATTGAAAGGTATAATGGGGGGGGGGGGGGTTGGCGACTGGATGGGATTTGCATTTTAAAGATTCTTCTGACACTGATAGTGGAGGCTGGATTAGAGGGGGCCAGGCAGAGGCTGGGGAGCCATTTTGAAGACTCTGGGCAGTATTCCAGGCCGAGCAGAAGGTGGTTAGTGCCAGGGTCGGGGCAAAGGGGATGGAGAGTGGTGAGTGGATTGGAGAGAGGTTTATATTTAGGAGATAGACTCATGAGGGCTTGATGAGTCATAGGCAAAGAGGATGATGTTCAGGTTTCCTTGTGATTGGAAATACCAGACAGAAGTTGGTTGCACCAGAGACTACTATTATTCATCGAGCCCGCAGGCACTGAAGGGCCCCTGTGTTGTCTGTAGCAGTGCAGTGAAAACCGGCCCGCCCTCCCCCCCAACCCTTCTGCGAATATCGAGAGACATTAAGCCTGTGATTATTTAATGGGTGGCGAGTGTTACCAGAGGGGTTAACCTCATCTCAGGGGTCTGAGTAAATGACAGCTGGGTACATAGTGGGCTCTCAATGAATTTTTCTGGGGAAAAACCAGGCTGAGACGTGAAGGGTGAGTAGGTGTTAGCTAGTAAAGAGAGAAGAAAGAGCCCTGAGCAAGGAAAGGTCAGTGGCAGAGATGAAAGCTTCAAGGATCTGGAAGAGGGCCTGTGGAGGCCCGGATTGAGAACGCTGGGGAGAGGATGGGCAGAGGTGGCAGCTCGGTGTGGGAAGTCCTGTGGCCCGCCCACGTGGAAGGCTCACAGAGGGCCGGATGTACCCGCCTGCCCCTCAGGAGAGCTGGGCCACATGCAGATCCAGGAGGTGGCAGTCTGTGGACAGTACCTGGAGCCCTGTGAGTGGGCATGGTCACCTGTGGAACAGGTGTTGGGTGAGAAGGATGGGTGTTGAGGAACAGAACCCGAAAGGGGAGGAGGAGGCTGGAGAGATAGGAGAAGATCCATGGGAATTTTGAGGCGTTGGGAATAGTCAGGGTCAAGAACTGCTGACGAGGGTCTGTTGGATCTAGCAGGGAGGAGGTCTTGGGTGACCCAAGCAGGAGCAGGGAGAGCAGAGAGCCAGGGTCAAAGTCCTGATGCTGCTGCTCAGGGAAATAAGCAAGTGAGAAAGGAGGGAAACAGTAAAGTGCCGGCAGCTTTTCCACCAGGCCTGTACAGAAAGAGCCCGGAGACTCAGGGGCTGCTTCTCAGCTGGTGTTCGAACTAGACTGGCTTCCAGTCTGGGGAAAGGAGAGTCAGGGGTGGTGCCATCAGGCCCTAGACCCCACCCAACCCCACCCCCCAACCCTCCAGTCTGGAAGCCTCCCTTGATGCCCTTGGCATTCCTTGGAGCCTGAGAGAGCTACTGTTGCTTGTGTAATAAATCACTGTAAAACTTCACCAGCCAAGGGACTGTTGGGAAAGTTCTAGCTAACCTGAATTAATGAAAAGTCTGAATGGCACAACTCTGAAAGGAATGCAGCTTTTTCTTTCAAGAACGCTTAGGAAATCCCACTCACCGGTGCTGCTAAGTGTAGGTTTCAGTGACCGGATCTAAACTGCTGTTAAAAGCACGCAGTACAATTGAAATGGTCGAAGTGGCATAAAACAATTACGTGGTTTTGCGCAAGAGTCCCTTTGCAGTCTTCATACACTATTTAGCCTCCCTTTGAATAGTATGAAGACAAAGTTAAGCACAATTTATGTCCAAATTACACATTTTAAATATAAGGTTCCAAATTAATGAGGTTCTAAAGTACCTTTGATCATCGTCTTGCAGTTACACATCTGTGCTTACTTCTGAACCACTTTTCATTTCCAAACACCCAACTGGAAATGCTTCTCTTTTCCCTTTCATGGTTAATCCCAGGATATAGTTCTCCAGTGGTAGGGAGATCAGTCTCTGTTTTGACTGCCCAAGCCGGCACCCGAGGGGCCACAAAGCTCTGAGTGACACTAGGAGAGATACTTACAAACACTGGTTTGAAATCTAGAGGGTTATTTCAAGAGCCAACTGGGGAGGAAAATGAAACCAAACCCAAATGGTACAAGGTCGTCGCGCACCAGCAGGCTGCTTCGGTAAATGCTGCTGTAACTTCCTAACTGAAGAATCGCTCCGAGCCCAACCTGGTCTCCAAACAGTTTGAGTCCAGGGTAACAACAACTGTAGAGGGAGAAAGGGAGATGAGTAAGAAGCTCAAGGCCTTTTTTCAAGTCATTTGCACTCTGTCCCATTCTAGTGTCCTTCTATTTCAGAGCAGAGGATGTCTGCGGGAGTCAGTCACCAATTTTAGCTAAGTGAACCTGAGCCCAGGGGAGCCTCCTGGGAGAGCCCCTGTCTTCCCTTCCCATCCTTGGCTGCAAGTAACTCATTTTGTGTTTTTAATCGCAACATGGCCTGAGAATTGAAAAAGCCTTATAAAAAAGTTCGTTTAGTCCAGCTTCCCACCCCATCTAGACATCCCATCTCTGACAGAGACACACATCCTGCCTCTGTCTAAACGATTCCAGAAAAGGGAGAACATTACCTCAAAAGGCAACGGATTCTATCTTTTGAAAGTTTTCCCTTCTATTAATCCAAAATCTGCCTTCTTTTTTTTTTTTTTTTAAGTAAACTCTACCTGCAATGTGGGGCTCAAACTTATGACCCCGAGATCAAGAGTTACATGCTCAACTGACTGAGCCAGCCAGGCATGCCCAAAATCTGCCTTCTTGAAGTTACCACCCTAAAGTCTTGAACCACCTATGGGATAAGTCCCCTGGTGGATATCACTAGTCTGGCATCCTGGTCACACCATTGCTCCTGTCCTCTGACCAAGCTCCAATTGAAAATGCCCCTTTCACAATGTCCCTCAGAATGAAAGCTGACACTCCAGACGTGGCCCAGTTGTGCAGAACGCACTGGGACGATTAACTTATTCTTCTGTGATTGAACTTTTGGAAATGCAGTCCAAGATTGCAGTAGCCTTTTTGGCAACCACATCTAGATTCTATTGCCTCCCGTTTAGCTTTGAGAAGAACCCACTGGGGCTTTTTCCCAGGAGAGCCACTGTTAAGCTCTGTCTTCCTGTCCTGCATGCATGTGATTTTTTTTTTTTTTTTAACCCAAGGGCAAGATGTACTCAACTACAAAGTTTAAACCACTGTTTATTGATTACCACTGTGTGCTCGCTGCTCTCCGTAGTAATTATTGATGCCTCCTAGAATCCCAGGAGGTGCTGTGCCCTTTGTCTTACAGCGCAGTGAGGCTGAGAGGGATGCCCCCGCCACCCCACAGATGACAGCACAGACCCAGCTCTCATAGGTCTGGATGGAGCCTCATGCTCTAAAAGCACTGCACATACTAGTTTTTAAAGATCTCTGAACCCTAATACTGACACCCAGTGTATTTATAACCCTCAGTTTTGTGACATCTGCGAGTTGAACTTGCCTGCTTGGTCTTTGCATGGTTTTCCAAACTTCAGTGGTGAATCGACTACTCTAAAGCCACGTTTTCCAGCCTCTAGGGCGCAGAACCAATTTAGTGAGTCACAGCCAGCATTTAAAAAAAATGAAATAGAGTAGAAAAATACCCAAGCACATCACACAGAGTAACGTAGATTTTGTTTCAGGAAACTCAGTGCCTGAGCATAGGACAGGGAGGCGTGTGGGTGCGCGCATACTCAGTCTTTATGTAAATTGTTTTTATAACTGTGGTTCGTGGTCAGAATGCTTTGAACATCACTGCTCTAAAGGAAAAATGTTTTTGAGTCAACTTAGATTGTCTTCATTAGAATGCTGCAACCTTACTTAATTGTGCACAGAAATCTGTTTATCAACTCATTGATCTAGCTCCTATAAAATTAATTAACTACAAAAAAGCCAGTAAGAATCACATCAGCAACTTCCTTCTGGGAGGATGACACTTGATGGAACCCGTATCACGGCTGTCAGCAGCAGCGTGCCACAGCCTCGACACCTCAGGCTCCCTGAGCTGCAGACGCCTACCCTGCAGCGTCTAGTGCAACGCAGCCCTCCCACGCTTCTTAAGAGCCGTCATCCCTCACTTTGCACAAGTGTGTCGTGAATTAAATGTGCAGAATTAAGTTGTCTTAATTAGCCCACGCAGTTAGAGCGGCACCACTTGGCACTGGTACAGTTGTGAAAACACACACAGGCCCCGAAACAGGCAAAGCCCAGTAAAGCAACAGTCACCCAGTGATCTCTATAGTATGCGTTCATTTTTAAAAGACCATCACAGTGAAAACACCGGAATAAAACATTCTGGTAGAAAAAAGCACGGGCCTCCCAGGAGAAGCTGCCCACCCTTGCCCTGGGGCCCACCCCTGAGTTTGAGACACCCTGGTGGACCTTGCAGCAAACTCCCCAGGGTGTGTGGATCTCAGCCCTTTTAGGTAGAGGCACATTTAGCTTAGCCCCCAACCCAGACTATCCTGCCTGTGTTTTTGGTTTTGTTTTTGTTTTTTCCTTCTCGTTTATAACGATATTACGAAAATTGCAGTCAGATCCCTTGTTGAACTAAAACACACAGCAAAACACCCTTCTCTTGGTGTATCCATACAAAACCCCAGGAAACAAGCATGACTCATTTTTTTTGCAACCCTGTGCTTATTCCTTACGATAACTGCTTCCTTACTGCAGTAATTGTAGCGTGCAGTCATCTGTTCTAGCATTTTGCCGAGGATCAGTGTCTGTATTATTGCAGGATCTCCTAATACGATTTTGCCTAGAGCTGCCCTCTGGCTTCTCATATACTTTGCGAGTGTGCCTGTAAAGTCTTACTCTGGAGTGCAGTTTGTGTGGCCCTAGGGCCTGGAAACCATTGAAGGCATCGGTCTTGCTGGCCCCTCGTCTGTCCTGGGCTTAGTTCCTTCCCCTTGACTTTTTCTTTCCCTTCCCCCTACCTTTCCCGGGGAAGAATGACTCTCCGCCAGAGGCCAGCCTAGACGGAATAGTTTGAGTAGTTGCCCTCTCTCCATGACTTCAGTCCTCTTCCCAGGAGATCAGGGGGCTCACTGCCTTCTCCAGTCTCCAGACTAATAACCTGGTTTCTGTACTTCCTGAAAGCTACTTTCCAGAGGTTCAAGGTACAAGTCTTACTGCCCAGTGGCCTTCTCCTTAGTGACTTATGAACTACAAGATGGCATAGATTCTTTGCCCCAATTCTCATGATTTCCACTTTACTTATATTTCTCTTAGATCGGATTTAAGTTCAGAGTATTGATTCCCTTTGTTACTTCCTCAGCGTTCTTTAGTTTTCTTTATTTAAAATTAAAAAAAGCACAATAGAGTATATTCATTGTGGGAACATGAGAAAATCCAGGAAAACAAGGAGAAAAATTCTGAGTCAAATGAAATTCTACCACCAAGGGATAATGGCCTTTAACATTTCAGCATTTTTTTTTAATTTTTTTTTTCAACGTTTATTTATTTTTGGGACAGAGAGAGACAGAGCATGAATGGGGAAGGGGCAGAGAGAGAGGGAGACACAGAATCGGAAACAGGCTCCAGGCTCTGAGCCATCAGCCCAGAGCCTGACGCAGGGCTCGAACTCCCGGACCGCGAGATCGTGACCTGGCTGAAGTCGGACACTTAACCGACTGCGCCACCCAGGCGCCCCTAACATTTCAGCATTTTTAGAGACTTTTCCTGCTGTACTCCTATTTAGAAATATAACACATTTAACAAAAATAGAGTTTACTCTGTTTTCATTCTTTTTGTTATATTCAGTCATTAGTTCTAGTCTTGGTGACACCTTTGGGGCCATACCTACCATCCTATATAAATTTGCTTAAAGCAGTTCCCCACGTGCTGAAGATCCATACCTGGGCCGTTGTGCCTTTGTAATAAAGGCTGAGAATAAAGCACCTAAGGTTTCCTCATGGAGCAGGCGTGTCCTTGTAGAGATCCTGGCTGAGGGATGCTTCTCTCCCAGGTTGGCTTGGCACCTGGCTATAGCAAGAGCGAGCAAGAAGCTTGGGTTAGAACTAGGGAGTTAGCTGCGGGGGAGGCGGGAGGGCGCCTCCAAATAGGGATTCCGATCTCGCTAGGGAGAGTCAGCAGTACCCTGTAGAGAGAGCTCCATTAGGTGACTGAAGCTGCTCTTGGTATAGTCTTGTATCGTCACGTTCTCCCAGGCTTTATGATGGCTGGAGACAGGACCAGCTGTCCTCACAGCCCCAGATGGCCAAGTTGGAGGAGAGGAAAGAAGGTCATCTACTAACGGGCACCTGGGTGGCTCAGTCGTTTAAGCATCCAGTTTCAGCTGAGGTCATGATATCATGGTCAGTGATTTCGAGCCCCGCGTCAGGCTCTGTGCTGACAGCCCAGAGCCTGGAGCCAGCTTCAGATTGTGTGTCTCCCTCTCTCTGCTCCTTCCCCACTCACACTCTTTCTCTGTCTCTCAAAAATTAATAAAGATTTTTTTTTTTTTTTAAAGAAAGGTATAGGGTTGCTAATCTTGAATGGGGAGATGTGAGGAAAGGTTAACATCTCTTGGAGAAGCAGCAGCAAAGAGGCGAAAAGAGTGTCTGAGCCAGTGGGCTTGGGTTCTGTTCCGGCATCTTGTGCATTGTTCTGTCTCTTCCCTTCCAGCAGGTCCACAGACCAGCATGGCTGCCACTGCCGCTGTCAGTCCCAGTGACTACCTGCAGCCCGCCGCCTCCACCACCCAGGTGAGTGGGCAGTGGCTTCTGAGGGTTGGGCTGCATCGGCCTGGAAGCACTCCCGGAAGCCGACATTAAACCACAGCCAAAAGCTCTGTACTGGCTAGGATACGAGACCCGGGAAGGTTCGGTTGTCCGCTTTCTCTGAACTAAGAAGCCAGGGCTGCTTACCTAAGATGGCACAGTTGAGCCGAGGGAAAAGCAGGGTTAAACTCAAGGTCCCTTCCACCAGACCCCCTGACCATAAAAGGGAAACAGAGGCTGTGTCCCTACACAGAGGCTCTGTCCCTGTAGCCTCAAAAGAACAGCCCTCCCCACTTTACCAGAATGTTTATTCTTCCTGTTGGCCCTCCCTTCTTCTTTCCCTCCCTCCCTTCCTCAGCCCTTCCTCAGTTGAGGAATCAGGGTTCCCTTCACCCTGTGATGGGCCCATGGACTTCTGTCTAAGAGCTGAGGATGGCTCCGTGAGCCCTGAGAAACAAGGATAGTGGGAAGTAAGGGTGTTAGTTTACCCTGCTATGGGGGCTTCTGGAGAGTTACTTCCTGAGGAAGGCATTGCCCATTCTTTCTCCCTGAGAGAAAGCAGAGCCAGCAGGGAGGGGGAAGATGCTGGCACCCTGTCTACCAAGGTGGCGAAGAGCCTGCCAGGGGCCACGAAGGGCAGAGGGTGGCTGGGCAGTGGGTTGACACCTCACTTTCTCTCCGCCTGTTCTCTCGCAGGATTCCCAGCCATCTCCTCTGGCCCTGCTTGCTGCAACATGTAGCAAAATTGGCCCTCCAGCTGTTGAAGCTGCGGTGACGCCTCCTGCTCCCCCCCAGCCCACGCCACGGAAACTCGTCCCCATCAAACCTGCCCCTCTCCCCCTCAGTCCTGGCAAGAATAGCTTTGGAATCTTGTCCTCCAAAGGAAACATCCTTCAGATTCAGGGGTCACAACTGAGTGCATCCTATCCTGGGGGGCAGCTGGTGTTCGCTATCCAGAACCCCACTGTGATCAACAAAGGGACCCGGTCAAATGCCAATATCCAATACCAGGCGGTCCCTCAGATCCAGGCGAGCAATTCCCAGACCATCCAGGTACAGCCCAGTCTCACCAACCAGATCCAGATCATCCCCGGCACCAGCCAAGCCATCATTACCCCCTCACCGTCCAGTCACAAGCCTGTCCCCATCAAGCCAGCCCCCGTCCAGAAGTCAAGTACGACTACCACTCCTGTGCAGAGCGGCGCCAATGTGGTGAAGCTGACAGGTGGGGGCGGCAATGTGACGCTCACGCTGCCCGTCAACAACCTCGTGAACACCAGTGACTCCGGGGCCACCACTCAGCTCCTCACGGAGAGCCCCCCCACACCACTGTCTAAGACTAACAAGAAAGCCCGGAAGAAGAGTCTGCCTGCCTCCCAGCCCCCCGTGGCTGTGGCTGAGCAGGTGGAGACGGTGCTGATCGAGACCACTGCGGACAACATCATCCAGGCAGGAAACAACCTGCTCATTGTTCAGAGCCCTGGTGGGGGCCAGCCAGCCGTGGTCCAGCAGGTCCAGGTGGTGCCCCCCAAGGCTGAGCAGCAGCAGGTGGTGCAGATCCCCCAGCAGGCCCTGCGGGTGGTGCAGGCGGCATCTGCCACCCTCCCCACCGTCCCCCAGAAGCCCTCCCAGAACTTTCAGATCCAGGCGGCTGAGCCGACGCCTACTCAGGTACCGCACTCACCCTCTGCACCTGCCTCCCTCTCCTTCACACTGAATGGCTGACACTCCGTTCCCCCTGGGCTTGCTCTGGAAGATGGTGCTGATGCATTTCCCACTTTGACCTGAGTGCTAGGATTCAGCACTGTCTGGGGTGGGCAGGAAGTGGCCATTTGGGCCGGCAAATGGGCTCTCTTCAGTTCATAGGGCTATGTACAGCTCATCCCTATACCTATATTGTGGTCCAGTTTTTCTTTCAGGGAGTCTCTTTTGGAGGATGGGTAGGGGGCAGATATATACTTTTTAATAGTAAAGTTCGTTTTTTTTTTTTTATTATGGAACTACATACTCAGAACGGTACAAGAATGAAACGAATTTCATTCAGAACCATAGAATTTGATGTAAAGCAAGAAAATTCTGGTCATTGTTAATGACAAGAAAAAAAAATAGGGAGACACAGGCCAGCTTGATGGCAGGAACTCTTAGGCTAGATTCATCTGTGATGCTAAGAACTTCAACAAGAATGTTCTTATTGGGGGCTTTTATTAAGGTGGTGTATTACTCTGGAATCTCTTTGGCTCTGTGTGAGTTGGTTTTATTCTCTGTATATGCCTACTAAGGGCCAGAGATGGTGCCTGTGCTGCAGATGGAGAACCTGGAACTCAGGGAAGTTAGGAAATATCCAGTAGCTCATGGGGCATAGGTGACAAGAGCCAGGATTCAGCTTGAAGTTCTGACTTCAAACCCCACGCTCTTTTCTGCTTTTCACTTTGACTTGCTGGGTCTCAGTGGCAGGTGCTACAATTAAAATTGAGGACAAGGATTTTTTTTAATGCAAGAAAACAGCTCCTGCCATTGAGGAACTTATCATGCAGTTGTCTAGAGAGAGAGAACCAAGGCATCACCATCAGTGAGAGTAGGGAGTTGTGTCCTCTTCCTGGGAAAAGGAGTGCCCTTGAGTTTGAGCTGTGCACATGGGAGTCACACAGGAGGAAATCTGAGGTCTGCCTTACAGTGCCTCCTCCCTTCTGGCACATTCTGTATTGTCAAGTGATTTTCTTTAAACTGTTTAATTTACTTATTATAATGTCTATGAGGTTTCATCATCAGATCTGCCGTACAGAGGAACTGAGGTGATACCCGCTCAGGTGCAAACATCCTTGGCAGTACCTCCCCTCCGTTCCCTGAGGTCCCAGATCTTGAGATTGATGGAGGCAGGGCTTAAACCTAGGTCTTCCTAAGGACATAATCATGCAAATGTGCATAGATTTAACTACAATATTATTTTATTATTTTTAAAATATTTTTTAAAGTTTTAAATTTTTTTTTTTTTAATTTTTTTAACGTTTATTTATTTTTGAGAGACAGAGAATGAGCAAGGAAGGAACAGAGAGAGAGGGAGACACAGAATCCAAAGCAGGCTCCAGGCTCTGAGCTGTCAGCACAGAGCCTGACGCGGGGCTTGAACACACAAACCATGAGATCATGACCTGAGCCAAAGTCAGTTGCTTAACCGACTGAGCCACCCAGATGCCCCAGTTTTAATTTATTTTTAAAAGAGCGAGAGAGCATGAGTGGGGAAGGGGTAGAAAGAGAGAGGGGGACAGAGGATCTGAAGCGGGCTCTGCTTTGCCAGCAGAGAGCCCAATGTGGGGCTCAGACTCACAAACC